CCCACGAGGCCCGGAGGCCCGCAGCTTCCCGGCTGCCCTCCCAGGCGCTCAGCCCCGGGCCGTAAACGCCTCCGAGTGCCCATGACTCTCGTGGTTATTTTTACATCTTCAGGCGCCCGTGTCCAGCTGCCTGCGTGCAGGCTGCCTGGTGTCCCTTGGGCCTCTTGGGCTCATGTGTCTGTGACAGAAACTCCACCCCGCCTTGCCGCCCGCTCGTCTCCCCAGGTACCACCCCGTCCCCCCATCCAGAATCATCCTCTTCTTTCCTTTCCCTCAGGCCCTGCCTCTGCCCACCAAGGGGTCTCGTGAGCTGGCTGGCCTCTGGCAGGGGGAAGGCCCTGCCCACTGTTACCGTGGTTACTGCAGAGCCTGGGCCCCCTTTCCTCTGCCCAGCCTAGGCCAGCAGCTCCCCTGGCCGGGAAGTTGCAGGGTCTGGAGCTTTGCTGTCTCCCGGTGTCCATTTTCCACAGGCAGCCAGCCTGGGCCCTGTTTGATGACAGCTGTCACCCCCGTGAGCTGGGATGAGGCTTCAGCCTGGCTCAGCAGGCCCACCTGGCTGGACCCCACCTACGGCTCTTCCCACCCCCATGCTGGCCTCCGGGCTTCTGCACTGGCTGTTCCCTCTGGCACAATGCTGTTCCCTGCGTGCTGCCAGGCTGCTGTCTCTCCTTCCTTGGGAGTCTGTGTCCTGTCTGGGAGGTCCCATGAACAGCTGCTGTGGTCACGTGCCTGCTCCGGGCCCCTGAACAGCACATCCTCAGGGTTTGTTTTTTTGCCCACCTTTTCCACGTTCAGACCATCCTCCCTCTTGGGTTTCAGCTCCACAGAAGTCAGGCCGTGTCCCCAGGTGCCTGGGTGGCTCATGAGCAGAGTGAACAGGGCTTAGTGCTGCGGGGGAGGCCTCTAGGCGGGGGGACGGAAAAGGAGGTGGGGTGGGCTCCGAGGGGCCCCAGCGGGGGTCTTTCAGTGGCCCTTTCAGTGAGCGGGGCCGCTTGCCTTTTCTGCACCAGGAACCTGCCCCCTTCCCCTGGCCAGGCTCAGGGCAGGCAGGTGTAGGAGGGCAGGGTGAGCACGCGTGGTCCACAGGCAGACCCTCCCCGAGCTTTGTGGTGATGGGACGGTGCCCAGCCCCAGGCTGAGGTCCCGGCCGGCTGGTGGCTGAGGGCCTCTGTGTGCCTGGCCAAGGCTGTTAGTGCCTCGACTCCGCAGAGTTCTCCTTTGAAAGTAGAGGCTCTATGAGCTGAGAGGGGGTCTCTGGTCACGGTGTGGGGCTTGAACCAGTCAGGTGGTCCCCACCGCGGTGCCCATGCAGAATGTGTGTGCATGTGTGCGTGCAAGCGAGCAGGTTTGTGTGTCCCCACATGCATGTGAGCACGCAGGCATGCGTGACCGGATGTGTGGCTGTGTGTGTGTCTGGTGTGTGTGTCTGTGCGTGGACCACCTCGTTTCCTCTTCACACTTTGCTTCCGGCCCCTCTCTGCCTCCCGTCAGCACGACCAAGCTGGTCCGCTCCACCCCTGCCCCAGCTGCCCCTTCCAGGCCTCCCTCCAGGCCCCGCGGGCGCCTTCAGCTCCTGCCCCCTAGGGTGTGGGTGCAGGCCCGGTGGCTGCCTGGCTGTGGTCGGCTGCTGTGAGTGGGGTCCTCGGGCCCATGAGGCCTGGCGTGGAGACAAGGGGGCGCCCCGGGTGCAGGGCGGGAAGGCTGGCGGCGCTCCCTTGCTGGTGACCGGGAGACCTCGCCGAGGGCCAGCCTCGCTTGCTGGCCTCGTGTGAGGGGTGCGGCCCTGGGTGTTCATGGCGGGGGGCCCCGGCCTGGCTGGGCAGCTGGTGCGGCCCCCGCAGCCTCCACGTGCTGTGTCCAGGGCCGGCGGGCCGCTGCCCCCTGGAGGCTCGGGCACGCTCACCGGGTGCAGAGCAGCTCTGAGACCCATGTTGCCTCAGGTCCCAGACCTGAGAATTTCTGTTTCCCTGGCGCCTGTTCCTTCAACAGCTTTTTCACCAAGCAGCACTCCTCTATAGGATGGGTTTTAAAACTAGGATCCCTTTATGGCCGGTTTTAGCAATGGGAGGGGAGGGGACGGGGCAGCTGCCTGTCCCGGGGCCCCTCCTGAGCCCACACTTGCCCCCCCTCCCCTGGGCCACATCCTGCCCCAGCTCGTGGGAGACCACGGCGGGGTCCGGGGTGACTCCTCCGGCCTTCACCATTGCCGGGCTGTGACTGCGGGCGGCTTCCACTGGGCAGAAGGTGGGGGCTCTGCACACAGCGTGTCCCCCCTCTGCCGCCGTTTATGTTCATACTTAAAAATGAGACCAGTGATCCACCTGGTGTCTCAGCTTCCTGGGGCTGCGGTAACGAAGTGTCGCAAACCGAGGGGCTGGAAACAAGAGAGATGTGCTCTCTCCCCGTCCTGGAGCCTGGAAGTCCACAGTCAAGGTGTGGGCAGGGCCACGTGCTTCTGCGAAGGCGCTGGGGCGCGCTCCACACCTGCTCGGCTCCTGGGCTCACGAGCACGTGGCTCCGTGACGTGTCTTCTCGTGGCCTCTTCTCTCCGTGTCAGTGTGTCCCCTCCCGTGTCTTACGAGGACACTCAGCTTTAGATTTGGGGCCCCCTTGGACAGTCTCTCGAGATCCTTAACCTGGCCACATCTGCACAGACCTTTTCTCCAAGCGAGGGCGTGTCTGCAGGTTCTGGGGGTTAGGACGTGGACACGTCTTTTTGAGGGGGTCCCCATTTACCCCGCCGCAGACAGGTGAGGGCATGAGTCGATTCTCAAATCTCTGTAAGGAGTAGGCTGTGAGCTGATTTCAGACAGAGCCAGGATCCAGGAAGACTGGACAGGCTGGGGGAAAGGGTCTTGGGGACAGATGTTGGCTCTGGCACGCAGGTCCCCAAACCAGCGTTGCAAGGGCAGGCATCTTCCCTCCGTGACAGCAGGAGGCATCGGGGAGCCATGGGGCAACCCAGGGGCCCTTGTAGCAAGCTGGACCCCAGACCACGAATCGCAAACTGGGGCATGAGCCAAATCTGGCCCGTCTCTTGCTTCTGTGATGAAGTTTTGTTGGAACACAGCCATAACCGTGAGTGTGGTCTGGCTGCTTTCGCAGTTAAGGAGCTGTGCCAGGGACCTCCCGGGAGGTCAAGTGGCTAAGACTTCACGCTCCCAATCCGGGGGGTGCGGGTTCGATTCCTGATCAGGGAACTAGCTCCCATAGGCTGCAATGAAAGATCCTGCAGATCCTGTCTGCCACTTCGAAGACTGAAAACCCCCAGGGCTGCAGTTAAGACCCGGCACAGCCACATAAATAAATAACGATCAGAAAGAACTGTGACAGAGGCTGCGTGGCCCACGCACTGGAATATAGTTACTGTCTGACTCCCCACAGGAAAGTTTACGGACCCTGCTCTTGGCTACATCAATGGCAGCATAACTCCTAAAACAAAGGAGGTGACCGTCTTGCCCTGCCTTTGCTGGTCAGGCCACGACTGCAGCAAACAGTCTTCCCTGGGATTGAAGGGCCTCACGCTCGTCTGTTCTGGGTGACGGGACTGTCAGAGCAGAAGAGGACCGCCTTTGCGAGCTCACCTTCCAGGGTGGGGAGCGGGGAGACGGGAGACGGGACAGCCAGCCGCAGGGCGACACCAGCGGGAGAGGCCGGCCTTGCCAGGGGGAGGAGCCACAGGAGGTGCTTGGCATGGCTGGGGAGCAGCCTGGTGTGGGTGGCGGGACAGTGCGCACGCCGGGTTCCCGTCCGCGGCCGCCCCGGTATCCGAATGCTGGGCTCCCATCCGTGGCCGCCCTGGTGTCTGCCCGCCCGCCTCCCATCCGTGGCTGCCCGGTGGCCTCCCTTTGTCCACATGCTTCTTTGCTGGGAGTCTCTCTGTGCTCACGGCCTCCCCAGGCTTTCTCCTCTTGAGCCTCTGGTGACACTTGGGGGACATTTCCATAACAACACGTGCCCTTTATGCCTCTGGAGTGACTAATTTCTCTCTGGGCCAGGCCACGCGTTCCCAAGGGCACTGTGCTCCAGAGAGAACAAGCAGAACCCTCGGGCGGCAGCTGGGTGTCCGTGGGTTCTGGGGTTCTGTGTATTCCCCTGAGAATGAAAACAGTCTTGTTTTTTTTTTTTTTCCTGACATAAGCATTTCAAACACTAGGAACAGGGTCAAATAGGAAGCAAAGCCCCCATGAGAGGCCTTGGAGATCTGTAAACAGTTTGTTGGAGCCAGCCTGCCCCGCAGGTTGGTGTCCAGCCTGCCTGTGGCTGTATTTCCCTCTGACCGCAGCGGTGTGTGCGCGTCCAGGACACGCCATCCAGCCCTGTCCTCACGGGGCCGGGGCTGACGGCAGGCAGGCAGGAGGCGCCGCCCTAGCTGTCCATCTGCTGGCCGAGCTGAGTGTGGAGTCAAGCGCTGGGGTCTGGGTGTCCCTTGGGCCTGCGGGGTGACGTTCCGGTGCTGGGCAGGGGCGGGGAAGTGCTCCATCCCGAGGGGTCCTTCAGTGCCCGCCCCCGACCTCTCCTGCCCCGACGAGGGGGCCTGTTCACCGAGCTCGGGGCCGCCTTGCACTCTAGGGTCTCGGCGTTCGCATCAGGCCCCGGACCCCTCACCCTCAGCAGAAACGGGGTGGTGGCCGGGCAGGGCACGCCTGCATTCAGGAGGGACCCAGGGGCGCTGACCCCGGGCCGCTCACCAGGGCCACGCAGGTTTGCGTTTAGAACGGTGTCCCCCCAGGGCCGGGGGCAGGGTGCAGGCCCTGGATGGGGGCCCCGGGCCAGGTGGGAGGGTCCCCACCAGGGAGTGTCCTGAGTCCACTTCTGCCCGTGTGGCCCGTGGCCATGTGGGGTGGGGGTACCTTTTGCACATGAGGGGCTGGAGGCTCAGGATGCCCGGGGCTTGCTGGGGGCCGGCCATGCCTGGAGCCCGGGTCTCTGGGGCGTGTGTGTGTGGGGGTGCCGGGCACTTGGGGCCCTGGCCACACTGACCAGCCCCCACCCCCGCGCCCCCTGCAGACTGCCTGCTGATGCTGGCCTACAAAGACAAGTCAGAGCGCGCCAAAGGGCTTCGGGAACGTAGCAGCCTGACGCTGGAGGACATCTGCGGGCTGGAGCCCGGCCTGCCCTACGAGGGCCTGGCCCACACGCTGGCCATCGTCTGCCTGTCGCAGGCCGTCATGCTGGGCTTCGACAGCCGTGAGGCTATGTGTGCCTGGGACGCCCGGATCCGCTACGCACTAGGCGAGGGTGAGTGCATCCGGGGCCCGCGGGGACGACCTCTGCCTGCCCTCAGGGGTCCCCGGGGGTCTCACCGGTGGGCTGCAGGGGCTGGGACAGGACTCCCCGTGCCTGCTGAGCGCCCTCTGGTCGGCTGTGACTGGGGCAATGGTAAGGTCACGGGGGGAGATGCCTCTTGAGCTCCCGAACTTGACCACATTCACGTGAACTGGGGCCTTTAGCCCGAGCGGGTGGTCGCCCGAGCCCGGAGCCCCGGGGAGGAGGAGCCAGACCCCTGAGCCCCACAAGGGGGTGGGGGGGCACGGGGTGCAGGACGGGGTGCTCTCGGGAGAAGGGGAAGACCCGGCGCCCACCCGGCTGGTCAAGCAGAGGCGGGCCGGCCCCCAGCTGAGTCATCAGAACGCACGGTTGGCATCTCTCATCGCAGCGCAGCTGGCTCACGTGTTGTTAGCTTCAGGCAGACGGCGGGCGGCTCAGTTGTGCGTGTGTGCGGTGGGCACGCGTATGTGGTCTCTGCCAGATTCTTGTGCGCTACAGGTTTATCGCAAGACAGTGAGTGTGGCTCCCTGCGCTGGCACAGGAGGGCCTTGTCGCGTACCTGACGTATGTGTAGCAGTGTGCACGCTTTAATCCCAGGCCCTGATTTGTCTCAAAAGCCACGATAACACAATATTTAAAGAGTGAAAATGAAAGCTCGAAGCCCACGATGAACAGAAATGTCAAAATCTAAAGCGAAGCTGGTTGTGAGCTGTCTTTGAACCTTCCCGTCCACACCTGCCCCGATGCCACAGCTGGCCTGGGCTTTATTTAAGCTGTTTCACTCACCATGGACTTTGTGCGCTGATTTTTGTTGTTTAAATCATCGTTAAAATATCACTGATCTTGGCCCCTGTTTTGCACCCTGAGTAAGGGGTCTCACTCACCCCAGCTCAGCCCAGCTAGGGGGCAGCGGCTCGTCCCTCCTCCGGGAGCCCCCAGACCAGGCGTCTAGGGCGGGGGACATGTGGAGGGCCCAGTGAGGGGGCGCGGGGGCAGGAGGAGAGAGCCTCTTCCAGAAAGTTCTCCCGTTGGGGTTCAGCCAGTTCAGCCTGGCTTAGGGCGTGACTCCTCTTCTTCGAGGGTGGGGCAGAGCAGGGCGAGCGGGGCCCTGGTGCGGAGGCAGCCGGTGCCCTGGCCTGGCATCTTAACAGACATCACCAGGATGTGGTCGTGGGTCGCTGACCCCCAGTCCCCTGGGGCCAGGCTGAGGATCCTCGCCCAGGGGCCCCTGCCCACCGCGGGGTTGGGTGGGCTCAGGAGGGAGGAGGAGGCAGGGCTGGGGCTGGCCCCTCGGCTTCGGGGTGGACACGGGGCCGGTGGGCACAGGCTGGGAGGCCGCCATCCACTCCTGGGCCTGGCTGCTCTGGGATGCGCCCCTCTTCCAAGGCCCTTCCAAGGCTGGGAGCGGGGGCGCCTTGTGAAGAGAGAAGAGCTCACCCCCCCCTTGCTGAGGGGCTTCAGGGGCAAAGGGCTGAGCCCGAGGCGGAGAGGACGTCCCGGGGAGCCAGTTGCCGTGCTCAGCGCCAGGGAGACCCTCTCACTGGAGCGGGGAGGGCCTGGGGCTTCCTGTGTGTGCCTGCGGCCGGGCTGGGAGTCTCCAGAAGGGGCCGGAGGCTGGGTCGCCTAGGCCTCAGTGTTCCCGTCTTTGGAATGGGAACACAGCAGCTGCGCTGGGCGGGGTTTCTCAGAGGAGGCGCCCGAGGCCTCGGACTTGCCAGCCGTGGCCCGTGTGCTTCTCCCGGATCTCACTGGGGTCGGTCCAGCCTCGTTAGGGTGGGAGGTGGAGGGGCACTGAGGACGGGACAGGGCAGGGCCGTGGCACCGGGTGGCCCTGCCCTCGGGAGCTGACACCCGGGCTGCCGCTTCCTGGCTGCCGTCCACTCCCAGCAACACTCTGTCGCCCCCGCCCCGCCCCAGTGCACAGGTTCCCCGTGATCGTGGCTCCGGGCACCAAGCTGGAGAGCGGCCCCGCCACCCTGCACCTCTGCAACGACATCCTCGTGGTGGCCAGGGACGTCCCCCCGGCCGTGGCGGGGCAGTGGAAGCTGTCAGACCTCCGGCGCTACGGGGCCGTGCCCAACGGGTTCATCTTTGAAGGCGGGACCAGGTGTGGATTCTGTAAGTACGTGGGTCGCGGGCTTGCTGGCCGGGCCGTGACTCAGAGCCGGCCCTCCCCCTTGCAATGGCCTTTCTGGGGCCTGCAGCAGCCTGAGGTCTCAAAATGCCGGCAGTTAGCCCCCAGCCAGGATTCTGCACTTCCAGCTGGAGGCAGGGGCTTGGGGGCTGCGAGTGGGGACCCTCCCGCACGGAGTCGGTGCAGGGCTGCCTGGGGGAGATTCACGGCCTGGTCACAGGGCATCAGAGCCGCTCAGCTGGGAAAAAAAGAGGATAGACGTGTCCACTGAGGATATGCTGAGCGGACACTTCGGCTCCCTGGGCCCTGAGCCCCCCACCCTGGCCGATGTTGGAGATGAGGGCTGAATGCAAGGCCCTAGCAGTGAGGGCGGGGGGCCCCCAGGGCCGAGGTGGCATCCGAGGCCGGGTGAGCGCTGCAGGGAGCTGGCCTCTGGCTGGGAGGAGCTCGGGACGGGGAGCACACAGGCCCTCGGTTGGAGAGTTTGGGGTGCAGGGTGGGTGTGTGTGTGTTCCAGGGCCCCCAGCCTGCTGTTCTCCCAGTGATGGGGGCCGCTGTGGATCTGCACTTGCTGTTGAGGGTGGGGGACGAGTCCCTCCCCTCCTCTGTCCAGAGGGTCTGAGCCTGTGTGTGCAGCTGTCTCAGGCTGTTGTCCGACTGAGTGCCACCAGCTGGGCCGCCTCGACGACCACGGTCACTGGGCTGGGCTGGAGGGTGCGGCCTGGGCGGGGGCCGTGCATCCCAAATCCGGTCAGCCTGCGACCCCAGCCAGGGTTTGGGGGTCACGGGCCCCTCCCTCATGTGGAGGGCGATCAGGGCTCCGAGCTGGGGGTGACCTCTCTCCTCCCCCCCCACCCTCTTAGAGGAACACAGATTGCTCCCCAACCCACAGCCCCTGGAGAGGACAGAGCCGGCCAGGGGCGCCCACAAGGCCCGGCACACAGTCAGTGTGGCCGGCGGGAGGGTGTGCCCCCCAACCCAAGCTCCGGAACTCAATCGCACCCAGATTTCTCTGGGCGCAGGGAATGCACTTGAGAATGTGGCCCTCATTCCTCAAGGTGGGGGGGTGTGTGAGGCAGGACGGTTCCGGCAGGCCCTGCCTTTGACGGGACGAGACGTAAACTGCTGGGGACCTTGGCAGGCAGGTGAACAAGCAGGTTGGAGCTGCTGCTGAGATAGGAACTGCAGCCCCTGGATTTCATGCTGATGGCTCGTCCTGGGCTCCAGGAAGCTTAGAAGCTCTGATATGCAGAGAGAGGCGGTGAGGGGTGACACAGCGGAGGTGCAGGCGGGCTAGGGGAGCTAACCCCGGGGTTGGCAGGGGGGCCGCAGCCGGAGTCGGAAGGCCTTGCACGAGGCTCGGTCTGTGTGTTTTCCTGCCTGGGGGGTTTCGAGCAGGAGGAAGAGGTGAGCGCAGCTGTTGGCCCCTCCGTGTCTGGTGGGGAAGGCCTGCCTGGGACGCCGTCCAGAGTCCTCTCCGCCGGACCTTAGAGGTGCCGGCAGCGGGCGGGTGGGGGGCCCCAGCCTGGCTCCGACCCCCTCCCTTGCATGGACGGTGGGGGACAGCAGGCTGCAGCATGCTTGGTGTGTGTGGCTGCCCTTCCCTCCCTAGATGTCCTTCACGTGGGGCCCTGGAGCTGCTGGGGGCCCCGGCAGGAGAGAGACCAGCATCCTGGCTGGACCACTGGGACTCCCCGGGCCGAGACTCGGGCAGACTGGCCTGTGGCTGCCGTGAGGCCTGGGGTGCAGGCCGTGGCTGGCGATGGTGTGTGCCCTTGAGCGGGGGCGGCCAAGAGGACCGGTTCCTTGGAGACTGTTTTATTTGCCGGGACATGATGTAATAGAGTCCACGGGATGTTTTTCCCCCAGAGGCCTCAGAGTTTAAAATTCCAGCTCTTGGTGTGGGTGGGCTCCTTCTCCAACCGTCGACGATTCCAGGCATCAGAAGTCGCAGGGCTTCCTGGGAGGGCGGATGCTGCAACTCAAGCTGCTGAGTCCTGTCCCGGGTAGGCAGGCCAACAGCGTGAACTGTGGCCGGCCGCCCTGGGGCTTCTGTGCAAGGCCTGAGTTTGGGCCTTAGGCCCTGGGCGGGCCCGGCGGGTCTGCCTGGACCGGAGGGCTCCAGGGTGGACGTTCTCCCTCCCACAGAAAGTCCCTCTTGGGGGTCCTCCCCTCCACTCCAGACTGTCTGGAGGCCCCTGGCCAAAGCTGGCCGGTGAGAAGTGGCCAGAGAACATGGTGGGTGCGGCGGGGGACTGGACCAGCCTTTTCCAACACTGCCACCTGGCGGGTCCCACGGTGCTCCTTTCTCCTCCAGGGACACGACCCTCTGCCCCCCGGCAGGTGTCGCAGCTCTGCCGGTTCGTAGACGGTCCCCAGACCCGGGTGACACAGGTGGGGTGAGCAGGACCATGCAGCCCCGCGTATGGTCAGAGCAGCAGGCCGCTCAGGACGCAGGCCTCCGGGGAGGAGGGTGGCTAGTTCAGGGCCAGGGCCATGTAGCGAATGACCACATCCCGGGCCTGAGAACAGCACAGTCTGCCCCTTCACCGTTCTGTCCAAAGTCAAGGACGGGCCGGGGCTGCGCACTCCTGGTGGCTCCTGGGGAGGGTCCTCCTTGCCTGTTCTGGTCCCCGGGGGTCCCAAGTCCAGTCCCCGGGCATCCCGAGTCCAGTCCCCGGGGGCCCCAAGTGTTCCAGGCCACATCCCTCCTGTCTGCTCTGGCTTCACGGGGTCCCACTTCACGTGGGACACGGGTCATCGGAGTCACGGCCCCTCGATACTCTGGAGGGCCTGAGAGCCTTCAGTTGGGCATACCTGCAGAGACCCTTTTCCAGATGAGGACACAGTTGTAGCCTCCAGGATGTGAGCCTGTCCTTTGGGGCCACCATCCAGCCCATGACCAGGTGACCCCGACTCTGATGGTGCCAGAATTCAGATCTCAGTGAGTCTGTGGGCCCCGAGTTGGAGCAGGGGTTAGAATCACCAGCAGGCTCTGGAAGGTTCTGGATGAAGGAATTAACATCTCCTGCCCGGGGCAGGCCCCAGCCTGGCCCCTGGGCCCTAGAGTCACGCCCCCAGACCACTCCGGAGAGCAGTGACCGGACCCCGGCCCCTTCACCCACACTGAGACACAGGTGACCGGCTGTCGGGAGAGGGCCCTGGGGAGTGTGGGGGGTCAGTGCCCCGTGGGTGTCAGGGAGGAGTTGGGGTCGGGGGCTACGTGTGGCTCTGGGTCCCCGTAGGTGGGCGTGTTCTCTCTGTGGCCTCCACGTGGACGGCAACCTGATCAGATTCTTTGAACAGGAGCCCGAGGTCTCTGTCTCTGGGGTGGTCACGGTGGTGTGTTTAGGGCTCCCGGGCAGGGGCAGGCCACGCAGATAGGGGTGGCACAGAGATTTGGGGCACCCTTCGCCCAGGACAGGCTCAGCCGCAGGGAGAGTGGCAGACCCGGTGTGGGGTGTCCTGCCGGGGCCGGGAAGGCTTTGGGGAGCGCTGGGGGGCATTTGCACAGGGCCTAGGGGTGAATGGAAGTTTCTGGGATGGGGGCCAGGGGATGTCCCCATCCCTCACGTCAGCAGGTCTTGTCAAGGACACTTCCAAGGCGTTTCCACACCCGCGTGAGCCGGCTGCGGCCACAAGGATCAGGGTCCTTAGAGCTGAGGGACTCTGCGGGTGGTGGACGGCGGAGTCCAAGGCTGGCGCCCAGGCCTCTGCCCGCTGCTACGCCTCTCCTCCTCCCCGGCTCTTGGGGTCCAGCCCATCCCGTCAGCCCTTTGGGGAGCAGCGAGCATCGTAAATCATTTTTGTAAGTGAGTGTTCAGTTCAGTTCAGTTCAGTCCCTCAGTCGTGTCCGACTCATTGCGACCCCATGAACCGCAGCACACCAGGCCTCCCTGTCCATCATCAACTCCCGGAGTTTACTCAAACTCATGTCCATCGAGTCAGTGATGCCATCCAACCATCTCATCCTCTGTTGTCCCCTTCTCCTCTCACCTTCAATATTTCCCAGCATCAGTATCTTTTCCAATGAGCTGGCTCTTTGCTTCAGGTGGCCAAAGTACTGGAGCTTCAGCTTCAGCATCAGTCCTTTCAATGAATATTCAAGGCTGATCTTCAGGATGGACTGGTTGGATCTCCTTGTTGTCCAAGGGACTCTCAGGAGTCTTCTCCAACACCACAGTTCAAAAGCATCAATTCTTCATGGGTATATTAGTGAGTATAGTGAATATATATATATAAATGAGGGTAGTGAAGCTCCAATACTTTGGCCACTTGATGTGAAGAGCCAACTCATTGGAAAAGACCCTGATGCTGGGAGAGATTGAAGGCGGGAGAAGGGGATGACAGAGGATGAGATGGTTGGATGGCATCTCTGACTCGATGGACATGAGTCTGAGCAAACTTCGGGAGATAGTTGAGGACAGTTCATGGGGTCACAAACAGTTGGGCCTGACTTAGCGACTGAACAAGAACAAACACGTGAGCACAGGGTGAAGCTCTGGAGCGGGAGAGGCCGCCTTGCCAGCGTGTCCAGCACCGAGAAGCCCTCGGCTGCCTCTTGTGGGTGCTGTGGTCCAGATGCTGGTCTTGCTGGAGCTGCTGGAGCCATGGTCTCCAGCCCCGGAGCCTGGAGGAGGGGGCAATGTGTTCAGGGGATTCTCCATGCCCGGCCCTGGGTTTGGGGTTGGAGTGGGGAGAATATCCCGGGCTGGGAAGACTCAGGCTTTGTGAGAGGACACAGACGTTTTGAGTCCTCAGGGGTGCAAGGGGAGCCAGGAGGGGCCACAGACTGGGGAGGCCCTCACATGCTGAGCCTGGACGGGGCCTCTGCAAGTTGAATAGGAGTTCAACTGAGCCTGGCTGCTGAAGGTAGGGTAGAGTGGAGGGAAGAGAAAAGGGGTTCCAGGCAGACAGTAGCGTGGCTGGTGGCAGGAATGGTGTGTGCGGGACCCTGGCTGGTAGAGTGGCAGAGGTGAGGTTG